GTGTGTGTGTGTGTGTGTGTGTGTGTGTGTGTGTGTGTGAGAGATGGGCATGGGAGGGAGTGGAGGATGGGAGGAAGGGTAGGCCTGTGCCGATGTCTCTCTGGGCTGCCTACCTTTGACTTTTCCTTACACGTCCCATCGATTGGGCTGAGCTCAGCTTTGAAAGACCCTCCCCGACATTCCCCCTTCCCGTCCTCCCACTGAGGGACTCCCCTCCTCATCTCCTGAGAGGAGTCAAGCTCCGAAATCCTGGCTAACTGCTTGAAGTGGTACCATATGAAAGGACACTCTCTGTCGCTCAGCTCTGATAATAAACGTGTCTTGCCTTCCGAATCCTCCTCTTCCCTCCTGGCTGTCTCTCCCCCCATACCACCCACTCCCCCCATCACCTTCTTCAATTGAGTCCCTCCCTATGTCCAGGGAAAGCTTGTCTGAGGTTCCCCTGCCACCCCCACATTTCCCGAGGGGCCCACTCATGTGTCCCTGAGTTACCGGAGACCTTCTAGTGTCTTTAGGGTTGCAGTAACTCTCTCCTCCTCCTCCAACCCCGACCCAAACACTGACTGCTCTCTTGCCGGCTTTCATCCTCAGTCCATGTTCTGGTGGCTGGGAGGGAGGTGGTCAGAGGGCAGGAAGGCCTGTGTCCCCCTCCTCCCTCCCTGAGGAGGCTTGTGCTCTCTATGTCTGCTTGTCCTGGGTCTCTCTCTGGTTGTGCACGTTTATATAACCTTGTAAATATGTTTTAGAAAGCAAAAGGCGCCATATTGGACGCTGGGAGTATTCCTGACGTCCTGCACTCTCCTCTCTCCGAGGTCTAGCCGTTGCCCTCCCATCGACTTCTCACGTGAAGTTCCCCAGGGTGGTCATTCTTCACTGCTATGGCTGGGGTGGAGGGGCACAGTGGCTACTGAAAGGTCCCTGTGCTTGAAAGCCTTCAGCCTTCTACTTATCAATGGTTTCCAAATCAAACCTTTGTCTGGTATTTCCTTCTCCTTGGAGGAGCTGGGGTTTGGGGGGAGGAGAAATTCTCTCACCCTGGGGTAAGAGATTTAGGCCTTACTCCGGTTCTCTACCACTGAGTCCCCAGGGCCACTCCCATGTCCGTCTTTCTACACCTGACTGTTCCCACTACAGCAGGGCAGCTGCCAGGCCTCGCAGCAAGGTCAGCCTCCCTCGGGGAAAGAACTTGATGACTGAAAGAACGGTGGTGGAGAGAGGAAGCCTGGAGCCCAGGCAGCTGCAGAAGGGGCAATGGGGTCAGAAGGAAAACATCTCCAAACAGTGTGTTGAAAGTCAGTAATTTGCCTCACCTGGTCTCGTTAGCCCACGGATGCCAAGGAGGTTGGGATAAGACTTGGTGGGGTCATGGGAGGAATAAGGGAAGAAGACTCGTGCCTTGTTGAGAGAATACCCAGGAACCGCTTTGTCCCTCATTTCCTTCCCCTGCCAGGGTGGAGCCATAAAGGGACCTCTCTGAGCTCCCTTTTTGATCCAGGCTTGACAGAGCCGTGAGAAAGGAGAAGCATGGGACTGACCCATGCCCACATGTGGGGCCTTTGGGGCACAGTGTGTGTGTATGTGGAGTCACATTTAACACTTTTAAACTGGGGCTACCCTCAAAGCCCCACCCCCACCCCTTTCACCCTCACCATGGACTGGGTTTTTTGAGGTTGTTGTAAAGATTCTCCCCCCTCCAAAAAAAATCTTAGGCCCTGAGCCTTGAAGAGTAGGACCTACTGCCCGTCTTCATCTGGGAAGGCCCTGGGGTGGTTGGGGCACCTGGGAAGGTCTGGGGTGGAATATTTTTTTCCGTAAGGGATAGAGGAAGGGGAGGGATAGGTGTGCAAAATCATGATTGACTTCTAAGAGGAGTACACCGCTTTTTAGCTTGAAACATATTCAAACAGTCTTATGTGCAATAACTGACCTTAGAGTTAAGAATTGTGTTCAAGTGCTTGGATCTCAGTCTGTATATTTAAGTGCTAACACTGTATATCTCAGTAATTTTAGATGTTTTTACAAAAATCACAAAAAAGAAAAACCAAGTGTTAGAATGTGTGTGTGCATCGAAGGGCACTGAAGCATCCAGCGGATCAGCTTTACAGAGCCCCTCTGTCCCCTCCCCTTCCCTGGCCCCTCTCTCCCTCCTTGTGTGCCCCCCTCCCCCCCTCGGGAACACAGCCTTGTGTTGTCTTTATCTGCCTAATACTTAAGAAGCTAAGGAAACGAGTACATACACATACATATAAGTAAATAAGATGTTATTTTTAAGAAAATGAAAATAAAAACTTTATAAACGCTATTTCTTGTCTATACTTTGTCCTTATTCTTCTTCCCCCAACCCCAGTGAAATTCCCAAATCACTGGCATTTTACAAACTTTAACTCACGTTTATCAAGTATTTTAAGGCTTACAAAGCACTTCCTTCACCACCAACTAGTAACATCGGTGGCATGGTAGAACCCTCATTTTATAGATAAAGAAACTAAGGCTCAAAGGGGACACTTGCTTAAAGTCAGCCCCTAAATGGCTTTGAACACAGATTTGTGTGACTCCAGGTCCAGCACTCTTCATATCCAGAATCCCAGCTCCACAACTGTGCTTTGGTTATCTTCACGTCTCAGAATATGGTGGTGATGGAACTGAAGAGAAGGCGCCGCCCGGGCAGGGGAACAGAAGCTAGGGCTCCTCTCTTGACATTCACCTCCTGGTCCCCAGCACGGCTTGGCTCAGTGTCCTAGAAGATGACATTTCCCTGGTATTTTGGAACTTTCCCAAGGAGGACCAACAGATTTCCAGGCTGAGGAGGGTGCTATAGTTTTCTTGCTATACACCTTTGTAGTGGCTGAGTTTACCTGCCAGGCTGCGATGGCTCTGGAGAGGCTCCCCATCAGAGAGTTTAGAGGAGAAACAGGAAGAATGATTAGCTGTCTGCCCAGGGAGAGGTTGCTTTGAGCACAGAGGATGATTGAAGAGAGATGTAGCTGAGCAAGTGAGTGATGGTAGGGAAAGATGGGCCTGAAAACTAGTTTGCTTGAAGGGAAAATGAGCTGGGCCAGAGATTGAGGATGAGGGAGGCAAACTGACCCATCAGTCAATCAGTAGTTGTATTTATTGAGTTGCCTAGGATGCATGAGGAGCTCTGTGCTTAGCTCTGTGAGGGATACAGAGATACAGATACGAGAACTGATCGCAGTCCTCATGGAGGCTGAGGTATGATTGGGGGGTGAGACAGAAATAGGAAAAGATAACGAACAGTAGAGGATGGCATTTGTCAAATCTCTCATGAATGGTAGCCAGGAGGTCATAGGAGGGAGGGAAGCCTTCATGAGGGAGCTGGGCCTCGAAGAATGGGTAGGAGTTAGAGGGCATCCCAAGGTGGCACAAGGAAAGACGTGGAGGCGGGAGTGAACACATGTGGACAAGGAGGCAGTGAGAATGATACCAAATGAAGCTAAGGGGCTTGGTCATGGGGCATAGCTGGGAGCAGGTTTAAATGGGGTCTGCGCTGCAGGAGGCTGGGGTGCAGTGAAAAATGGCATCTTCTTGTTCACAGATTCTGGGGTTTTCCATACTTTAATTTTCTTTGATTCACGTATTAGCTATTTAGTTAACATATATTGAATGTCATCTAATAGCTTATGATCTCCTCCTCCTCCTCTTCTTATTCCTCCTCTTCCTCTCCTCTTCTTCCTACCCTCCTTCCCTCCTCCTCCTCCATTACCTCCTCCTTCCTGCCTCCCTCTCTCTCCCTCTTTCCCTTTCTCCCTCCCTTTCTCCCTCCCTCCCTTCCTCCCTCCCTCCCTTCCTCCCTCCCTTCCTTCCTTCCTTCCTTCCTTCCTTCCTTCCTTCTTATAATTATACATACTTGTATGTTATTATTATTATTATTAATAATAATCTAATCTCACTTATTTGGAAAAGTTGAGTAAAATCCATTCACTCCCCTCAAAACTTTTCATGTTAGCACCTCCCTCTGTAACCATTGCTTGGCCCCAAATGATGAAAGTATCTAAACCAGAGTCTTGTAACCTTGCATAAATGCAGTAATTACTCTTCTATCTTAGCAGCCCTGAGTTCCCCCCTTCCCCTGGGCCAGCTGGGGGGACCAGGGAGGAGGCCCCTTGGGAGCTGTCCTAGCTACTAGCCAGCTGCTCATCCTTCTTCC